CATTTATTATCCAAGGTCTACTTACAAGTCTTCTTTAATTGGATTTGGTTGTTTCTCAAAGTAGAAATAGAAAAGAATTAATGTGCAAATGAAGTATAATATATATATATCTTTTGTTTTGCATCACGGTACCACATAGCTTAAATCATAGTTATAATAAATAGTTTTTCAAGAATGTAGTAAGTAAAAAACGTGACCACTGTTTTCTAATGCACACTTGTGTCATATTAAATCAATAGAAAGGACAACTGTTACAATAAGAAAATATTTTATTTTTAAAGATAGCAATTTTTCAAAGACCGTTTAATTGACCTATATAAACATTTTATTTTCTCAATGCAAGTTATTGAACATAATGGAATCTTATTTCTTGACCCTCGTAGGACGATCGAGCTATTTTTTTCGGTGAAACATACCACCTTTTTTATGAAAGTGTAAGTAATCGGAATAGTCAACTTTTGTGATTGAAAATTGAAAAATTAACCATTTATAGCTGTTTCACTGCTTTAGTGACATTTGCCTATATACGATTGATTGATTGTATACTGTTTAACGTCCCTCTCCAGAATATTTAACTGATATGGAGACGGCACCATTGCCGGTGAAAGGCTGCAAATTTGGCCCTATGCTCGGCACTCAGGGTCTTTGAGCAGGGAGGGATCTTTATCCTGCCATACCTGCTGTGACATGGAGCCTCAGTCTATACCGTCTCATCCGAAGGACCATGAACATTCCAAGAGAAATTCGCTAAGATTTACTCGTTGCGTTTGGCGCAAAATTATGAATAGTGACCCTTCTTTCATAATTCCAAGACAGATTAACTGTTGCAGAATTGTATGTACATACAAGTGAATTAAGAGTAGTTGTTCAAATAGCGTAATCGATAAGCGTATTGGATTTTCACGCTAGTGACCCGTTTCAATTACCAGTGTGTCCAAAATATGTTTAATCCATTTTCAGCTCGATTTTATGGGTTATTTTTCGGAATCGGACGGAAGACCTACTCGTTGCTCGCAACGAGATCGTTTCTAGTTATGTCGCCCCGAACGAAGTCGGGGACGACATATTGATATTGTACGCATGTTTTTTTTATCCAGGCTGTTTCTCGGAGATGGCTGGGGCAATCTTCCTGAAACTTTCCTCAAAGGACGATCACTGGTTGTAGTTGTGCAGTGAGGTCGTTCAGTTCCAATATGTCTACCGTTGCCATGGAAACCTGTAAAAAGCGACGAATTTTGTCCGAGAGTGTTCTCTCTGGTCCCTTAAACGTTCGTCATGAAACTCTTTTTATTTTAATGATTAGTACCTGTAGTTGTGCGCCTTGCATTTAAAATTTTCAAATACTCGATTATTGCCATGGAAACCAGGGGAATGTTAAAATTCTTTAATTTCGATTTTCTCAATAACTACTCAAGCAATCGTTTTGAAACTTTCAATGTTAATTCCTTGCCATGTGTCAAAGTGATTTTTACTTTTAAAATAATTGTAATGAGTCGCTCACAGTTGTCATAGAAACGAAACAGAAAAAAGGTTAAGATGTACACATGTGTTCTCCAAGGTCTAGGTCAAAGGGTCAAAGTTCTTCGTGTCCAATAAAAGTTCTTTTCACAAGGATTACATATTTGAAATACGAAAGCCCTAGCCCTTACCGTTCAAACGTAAGGTACTATGTTCAAGACGAACCCCCCCCCCTTTTGAAGCGCACTGCCAGTTAGAATACACATATCTAACATATACAACTTACAAGTAACGTTTTAAAAGTTTCATTCATAAAATTCAGTTCTCCTGATGTGATTTCATAGTTTGCCAACCTTCATTCTTCTTCTGTCTTGTCTCTAGATGTTATAATTATTTTATTTTATCTATATATAAAATAACGATTGTCAACTGCATTTATTAGCATTTCGCATTTTCTTTTTGTATATCTATTACTTGTATATTATTAATTTCATTAGATAGTGCAAGTATAAATTAGAAAATTGGTACGTTATTTCCATAGTTTTTATTCATTCATAAATCCTAGGATCCGCTCCTACAGGTGCGCTAAGCCTTGATCACTACTGTAAACAAAACATTCATCTCGCCGAAAATGTTCACGATTCCGCTAAACTGAGAAAGTTTACACATGATTTATCATCTCATAAGAAACATCAGCCCTGTACAATGCAGAAATGCTCGAATTGAAGGTGGCATGCCAGATTCGTTTTCCGGCAGAACCTCTAAAAATGAAAGTGAAATTTCAGAGTTCTCACTGGCGTTATAATACACAAAATAATTCGGCTGATCTTCTTAAAAAATTACATTTGCCAAGCTTTATTGGTAGGAAAGATACTGCCAATTAACAAGTATGAGGCTCAGTTCAGTACATCTGCCCAATTTCTTTTATGCAAGTATGCAAATTTAGGAACTTGTAATTTTTACCTGCACTACTTTCTTCTCCTACCGATTCTAAAAATAAAATGGGATGTACCCAATTAAGGTCTTCCGTTTCCAACGGAAAGGACTGATACGACTCGATGGTTGTCCAAGCTTAGCTAATGGACCATTGTTTTAGTGATGATAAAAATGAAAGTCCTGTCCAGTACGGGGCGACATATGCTATTGCTTGCAATAGCAGACTTTCTAGTTTATATATATTTTCGTGTGGAATGGTTGTTAACAGTGTAAAAAAAAATGTACGTGCGTTTCGATGCTATCGATGATTGACTTTTGAAATTTGTCAAGTTCAACTTTTTAAAATTTTCTTTTTTTTCTGGAATCCGCAACTTATACACTCAACTACCGAATAGAAGACTTCGTCTTTCTATTTTACCACCTCTGATCTAATGAAAATGCAAAAATAAATGAGTTGTTTGCTGCAAAAGGTTGTGATGTTTGCTACAAGCTAGGATATCATAATTTGTACTTAAAAATACACTATACGTATTTTAATGCATTTATAAAATATTTTTTCCCTTTTCATGCTTTATTAGTTTTATTAGAAAAAGATTTTATTTTTATTTGCCAGTATTGTTCCAAAGAACAATTTGTAAACCCACTTTTTTAATCTAAAGAAACTGGACTGGAATGAATCGAGTTAAATCTCAAGTAAAGACTCATAAAGAAGTCTTCAAGATCTATAGGATGAAGTGGTTTAATTCTATACTGGATTTTTATCTTCACAGTTAACCTTGCAAACACTTAGCCGAGATTAAAACAGAAGTATGATGTACCTAAAGAATACAGGTACCACTTGAGATGCTTAGTGGGGAGTCGTAAGAACTTGATTGGAACAATGAACCTATATATATTTATAGAATATCATATATTAATTGGTCTACATCTGTGTTAAATTATTTACATAATTAAAACAGAAACATATCTGTTAAATCCTTAATTTATGTAAAATATAAAATAAAAAATAATATAAACTAGTATTCGTCTCCTCGTTAAAAACTGAGAGCAGGTCAAAACCAAATTCCTGAAACTGATTGTACACGGAACATTTGCCTGCAAAAACAATAAATTGAAGTCATTCGTCAATTGTAAAATTACTTTGTTTAAAACATTCTGATTGTACAAACAAGTACTCTGACGTTAATATTATAAAGATGCTAGAGATTTTTGATTAACAATATCTTTGTGGGTTTTTTTTTGAAATCAGGTCCTTTAACAATTTATTGGAATTCCCTTGTTAACCATGAAGGGAAAAAAATTATATTTAGGATTCTTATTGCTTTGGATAAAGACTTTTACATTTTAATCATAGAATATAAGAATATTCCACATATTAGTTTTGATCGTAATAATTTCATACCTTTAAGTTGAAAGAAGTTCAGTCAAAGTACTAAATAAACAAATGGAATGTGACGTTTACACGTTAGATATCGAGAAAGCGGACGATAATCAAACTAAAAAGTTCATCAAAACAATACAAAAATATCTTTGATTCTCCTCTGCATGAAGTTCATCAGTGCATTGACCTTTCTCACATTGATATATCATTTAACCCTTCGAACAAGGCTACCCTTAGTTTGTTGTGAAAAAAAATAATATTTCGACGATGTTAAATCCTTCTATCAAATTTGTCCAACAGATGCTCGATTGGAGAAAATGTGGACTTTTCAGAGGCCAGAAGGGTGGATTTATGAGGTTGTTTTGCAAGAAAGTCGTAACAAACCCTGGCTACCTATGCTTAGAGGTGAACATACTGAAAAATTGGGCATAATAATTATACGTGTGGGAGAAACAGAAGCAGTAACGTATATGTAAAGTTGGCAATTATATAACCCAAAATCGTGCAGTGGGTTTCATTCAGTTCTGATATGAATGTGAAGATTGTGCACGCGTGATCTCCCATGGCCACTTGTATTAAAAGCGAACACGACGTGGCGATTACACTTGTGGCCGAATAAAAGCCCAATATTAACGTTAATCACCACGGTTGGTAAGAAATCCTTAAAGTTCCTCTCTGATGACGCATAATATGCTCTGTCGTGGAAAATAAAAAAGAATATGCACTGTATCTCGTTGTTTATTTTTTCTTTACTTAAAAGACAAGTGTCAAGATTGTAACACTCATAGAAAACACATCTGAACCGTATAGTGGTTTATTTGAAACTCAACAAGTATATAACATAACGTTATAGTAACGTCTATGACGTCATCGTACTATGACGTCATAGTCCGGTAAATGTCATTAATATAATTGCATTAAATGGTAAATAGAAAAGTATTACTGTCTATAATTCATAACATTCTCCGGCCCACCAAAGTGTCCCTATTTCACAACATTCTCCGGCCCACCAAAGTACGAATTGAGTAAGTCCTTGGACCGAGAAATAAAAGGAAATTTGAATGAATGATGAATGAAAAATCCTCGAAAAGTTATTCGCAATGTCACATGAAATGTACGCTCTTCCACTTCATAAAGTTCGGATTTGCTCTATGTCTTTGAGTTTGGCTATGGTACCATCACATATACGAATAAAGTCTCATAAGAAATTGTCTTTCTCCTTACTCTAATGTCCGAAGTACTCCATGATGAATGCATTCTCCTTGGCTTGAATTTGCCCCTTATGCTGATCAATCTGATGATTCATAATCTTCACCCTCCTCTTCATCTCTGCGATCTCATCCCGTGACTCAATGAGGTTCTGACTGTATGTCCTCTCGACATCTCTAAAAGTTTTGAATGTGTTCTCCTGTTGCCTGATATTGGTGTCATCCACAGAAATCCTCTTGAAGTCAACAATCTGCATGCTATGAACTTTGTTATCCTCTGCGTAATTCCGAGTTAGATTGTTGTTCTCACTAGTGTAGCGGTTTTGTTCCTTTTCTAGTTGGTTGATGATGTTTATCTTTTCCTTGATCGCCTCTCTGTAACTCTGTTCCAGGTTATTCTTATGAACGTTATCTAGTTTCTTGGATATCTCTGACTCCCTCTTCAAACAAGTAATTTGATCTTTAGGAGTTTCTCTCTGCTGCTTTACATCTGAGTGAATATTTTCTCCCACTTGTTGAAGTTTCCTAGCAGGTGTCTCTCTTGATGATTTGAGCCGTTGTATCTCCTGTTTGAGCATATTAACTTCACCTTCTTTTTTCTTCAACTCATCTTGATTCTCAGCAGTCATCTGATTTGTAGCAATTAACTGTGCATCAAATTTAAACTGAAGCTCTGCAAATTGGGTATGTAAAATGTTAACATCTTTAATGGTTTTCTCCGTCAAAATCTTCTGTCTTGATATCTGCTGTTCCAATGTAGCAATGACACTTTTATAGTTCTTGATTTTATCCTGTAGATTCTTGATTTCCCTGGTCCTTGCATCCAGTTCAGCCTTTGCTTGTAATTTATGGGTATTCCTCCTTTTGGTTTTGACTGCATTATGAGCAGTGCACAAACTTGTGTGATGATTTTTTTTTGCAGATTTTTCAATTGGATTTGGACTGGCATTCCGCAACACGATGTCTCCCTAAACAATTAAAGCACAGTTTGTCATGTCTGACAATTTTCATCCTGTCATTGTGTCTTGTGTATCTTGTACAGCCATTTGAATGATGCGACTCCTTGCAAAATGCACAGCATACTCGATGATTCCGAGGACTGTAGTTCCGTTGTGGTTGCTCATCACTGGATTCTGAGTGCATGTAGAAAATAGCTGTAGCATGGTCTTCTGTTGTGTCCATATGAGTTCCTGCTTCTAGTATGTCAAGTTCCTTGTATAGAGCCTTTCGTAAGTCGCCTAGTAACCAATCGGTAGATCCATGCTCGCGTGCCAAATTTTTGCGTAATTCACAAGGTAATTTGTTAAGAATCACAGGTACTAGAAGCGAACCATATGTATCTTGAGCTTGTCCGTATGATTCTAAACCTCTGACGTATGTCTCCACTTGGTCATGAAAATGACGCAGGCTTGTGGGATTATTCTTGGGAGCCGGTAGGTCTAAGAGCGCTTGCATGTAGGACTGAGTTATCTTATGTTTTTGTACAAATCTTTCATGTAGAAGCTCAATCGCTCTGTTGTAGTTTGCATGTGTGAGTGCAAATCCTGAAATGGTGTTTGATGCCTCTTCTGCTAGTAAAGACTTTAAGTAGTTAAACTTTTGAACTTCTGTCAACGTGTTGTTGCTATGAATAGCCGAATCGAATGAATCCCAGACTGACTGCCACTCCAACACATTTTCCTCAAAAATGGGTAAGTTTAATTTTGGAAGTTTGTGAAAGTTAGCACTGTTTGGATTTGAATGAAAGCTTGTAAAGGTCTGATGAGTTCTTGAATTTTCACTGAAATTGTGTCTTCATTGACTAATATTCCCTGTGAATTGCGAATTCTCATCCTGAACTAAGAAACTGCTGGCAATTGCATTTTGTACCGACAAATGTTTCTTAAATTTCCTCATTTTAGAATTAAGATTGAAATTGTACTCATCTGTCTCCAGTATTTCTCTCTCAATATCCTCCTCTGCTGTTTCTGTTAGAATTTTTTCATCCAGATCTCTGAGAATTTCCTGTTTGTCCGTCAATGTCTCCAAAATAGCCTCAATTTCCTCTGCATCTGCATTTTCCTCATCCTGTCTTTTTTGAAGTCTGGTTACAGCACTTCTCTGTCCTGCTCTTACTGCCTTCAGTTTAGAAGTCATCTCTCCTTTTTCGTCACGGCACCAATGTCAAGATTGTAACACTCATAGAAAACACATCTGAACCGTATAGTGGTTTATTTGAAACTCAACAAGTTTACAACATAACGTTATAGTAACGTCTATGACGTCATCATACTATGACGTCATAAGTCGGTAAATGTCATGAATATAATTGCATTGAACGCTAATTTAGAAAGGTATTACTGTCTATCATTCATAACAACAAGAAAACTAGAAAATTCCGTCAGCTGTTCAATGATTGCAAAAAAATCTATTTATCTGTAAATATCAAACGTACCTCCAGTGCATGAAGTTGTATTACAAACCAAATTTAATAGCATACCTATTTTTGTATTCATATAAAGCAGATTATGCAAGGAAAGAAGAAAATACTTGCTGTCGCATTCAACTCAACATTTAGATATATCGGCGACGTATTATCAGTTAAAAATGGTAAAGAACTACGAACTCTAACTCTTGATTCCCGCCTACATTTTGCACCCATTAAATTCAATATTAATGGCAATTTAGCCATTAAAACTTTGTTTAATACAAAGAATAATTCTATGGTTATTGATTAATCATTTTAATTCCAGCACTAGATAGTAAATCATCATTTATTCCAGCTCTTAAACAAGGGGGGTAGACGATATTTTCTAGTGAAATCGAACTTTCAAGAATCACCATATTTTTAAATAGTCTTAAATATGATAAAATTTATCTCATATCTTTTCTTATGTTTTACGCATATGATTAAAACATATTTGAATTAATAAAATACATCTATTAAGTTGTAAATAGCTTTAAAATTGGTGAAAAATCAGTATTTTTTTCGTTTTTTGTATATAAACATATGCCCCCCCCCCCCCCCCCCCCCCCGTGAAACACAAAGAGCTTTGGCATAAATTTGTAAAATGATAGTCCATATTACCTGTAAAAAGGAATTTTGTTTCACGGTGGGGAAAGATGTTTTAAAAATATTTTCCGTTTTCCGTTGATTTCTATAGTGAAAAACACAAGTTTTACCAAAATTATAGAGTAATCTCTCTTTGGTATCCCAAATAAGTAACGTTTTATGAAAATTCATATAAATATCTATAAAAATTTTGAAAATCATTCGAATATGTTAAGTTTTGAAAATTGACTTAGAGGTAGGCGGGAGAACAATACTATCGTTCGTAGTTCTTTCATTCTTATGTCGATTCGACATATCCCTATGAGGTTGAGATATAAGATACCACAGATTCTTCAACACATCTCTTTCACATATGTATATTTTACTTGAAAAAGACGTAAATGGTAATCTAACAACCAAGCTCTATGATAAATGTGATGACTTTAACTTTTCTACTTCCCTTGTCTATGGAACAATATACCTTCATCTCCTGCATACGGAGTATATATATCTCAGTAAGAGCATGCGCTACGTATGAAAAATTTCTAAAAGGAGGAAAATTATTGACAAACAAGTTGATGAAACAAGAATATCAGCAGTCTCGCTTAAGTCAAATGCTTTCATACTAATTGTTAGTCCATTATTCATACACTGAATTGACTGCTGTTTCCCCTGTTATTTCCCGATCATGACGACAAGGAGTACACTGCCGGTGTGACCGGTTAGCAGGGGATGCTCACTCCTCCATCGCATCTGATCTTACTTCTGATGCTTCAGAGGTCTGTGTTTGCTCTGCTCCTGTTTTATATTTTTAAATGGAATTTTGGTCGTGAATAGTGTTCGTTATCTCCATTATATATTCATGCGTACTTTTATAATTATTTCACATAAATTTCATTTCAAACCAAACATTATAAAGACATAATTTTAATTCAAAGAGAGGAAAAACATAATTATATTGATATTGCCATGACTCAAAGGTCGGTTTGCTTGTTTGCTAATTGATGATGTCGTAGTTGTACTTGATATTAGTGTTTTGTGTTGTGAAGAAAGCATTAATGGGTTACTAATTGTTGTTGGAGAGGTATTTTTTGTTATCCTATTGGAGGTTGTTGATATGGTTGTTTTCGATGAAGTTTTTGAAAATATGGTTGTTGTTTGTTTAATTCTTGTTGGTAAAGTAGTTGTTGTTGTTGGCGAAGTAGTAATGGTTGTTGTAGGTGTTGTTTTCTGTGTTGTGGTAGTTGTTGTTGTTGGTTTCATGGTTGTTGTTGCTGTGGCAGTTGTTGTTGGCTTTATGATTGTTGTTGCTGTAGTACTTGTTGTTGTTGTTGGCTTCATAGTTGTTGTTGCTGTTGTACTTGTTGTTGTTGGTTTCATAGTTGTTGTTGCTGTGGTCGTCGTTGTTGTTGGTTTCATAGTTGTTGTTGCTGTGGTCGTTGTTGTTGGTTTCATAGTTGTTGTTGCTGTGGTAGTTGTTGTTGGCTTTATGATTGTTGTTGCTGTGGTACTTGTTGTTGTTGTTGGCTTCATAGTTGTTGTTGCTGTTGTACTTGTTGTTGTTGGTTTCATAGTTGTTGTTGCTGTGGTCGTCGTTGTTGTTGGTTTCATGGTTGTTGTTGCTGTTGTACTTGTTGTTGTTGGTTTCATGGTTTTTGTTGCTACGGTAGTTGTTGTTGTTGGTTTCATGGTTTTTGTTGCTGTTGTAGTTTTTGTTGTTGTTGGTTTCATGGTTGTTGTTGCTATGGTAGTTGTTGTTGTTGTTGGTTTCTTGGTAGTTGTTGCTGTGGTAGTTGTTGGTTTCATGGTTTCTGTTGCTGTGGTATTTGTTGTTGTTGGTTTCATGGTTGTTGTTTCTGTGGTAGTTGTTGTTGTTGGCTTCATGGTTGTTGTTACTGTAGTGGTTGTCGGAATAGTTGCTTTAGTTTGTGTACTTGTTGATTTTCCTGTAGTCGTTGTTTTAGTTATTGATGTCCTTTTAGAAGTCATTGTTGTTTCCTGCTCACACTGTTGACCAATATAATTTGTCGAGCAAGAAATTGTCAGTTGTAATTTGATCCTAGATAACGGAAACAAGAACTATTAAACATAAGTTAATATTTAAAGGTTTACTAGTTTTCAAGGGAATAATTCATGTTAATCTCTTTTTTTAAGAATTAAATCTCTTGACTAATACATGTATCACGATTAAAACAATTCTTAAATCATGTATCAAGATAACCTAAAAATTTACAGACTCTTATGGATCTGAAAGATTAACCCCATTCAAACATTTAAAACGTAGTTTCGAAAGCAGGAGTATTACATGATTTGATTGCTTCTCACGTTAGGTTTTTATTTCCAGGTGTTGTCGTTACTGTCAATCCTGTAGTTGTATTTCCTCTGTACACAAAACTTGTCACGCCAAGATCATCACTGCCACCGACAGAATCGTAGTCGTAGACATAGACTGGTATACCAAATGAGGGCTGTGCGCAAAAATGGTAAACAGAAAATTAATACTATGCTTGACCTTATATCATTTATAATACGATTAAAATATATCATACTATATAAATATTATATAGAGCATTTACCTGCCCTTTGATGTTCCTCCACGTGTAGGAATCAGCATCTCTCAGAGCGTCAGTGAATAAAAAGTGATGTGTGTCAACGACTCGGTGATTTCCATCATTTCCATAGCACGTCTGTCTGAAGGAAAAAAGAGAAATCAAATAAATTCATTCCAAAATTAGGGGTTTTTTTTTTGGGAGGGGGGTCAACATTTTATCTGTATAACAACCCCATTTAATCGTGCAAACAGTCATCATAGACATTGCTTATATAAATAAGTATATAACATATTCTATTGTTTTAAACATTCTAGACAATTTAAACGTATGTTTAAAAAAATTGAGAAAGAGAGAATATTGAGAGAGAGAAAGAGAGAGATTTACTTTGGTACTGGTAGTAAAGGTTGCAGACAAACTTGGAAATAAACGTCACACTCGTGACATCCCCAAAATCCACCATCACAACTACAGTCCCGGTCTCTGTTGTACTCCAGTAACTTTACTGACACATCATAGTCTCCAGTGATCTGTCAGTATATAGTAACGTATATAGTGTTAGTAAAAAAATATAATGTTATGCAATAGTGGACTTGAAAATCAATCAAAATATCTAATAAGAAAATTATGACAAGGAGAAAAGAACTATGCTAGAAACGTGAATAGGAAGAGTGATATCAAGAGATTCGTTCAATTAGTAATGCAGCATATTGTATATAATAAATGGAGCAGAAGTTAATTTCATTTTGTCAAATAAAAAAAAAATTCTATTTCTGAACTCCTAATCACCAAAAAGAATTTATTTTTGAACGTATTTGCAAGAAATCCAATTTTAGAATAGATTGTGTCACTGAGGTTAACACTGTTCTAACAAGGATTATGCCAAAAAAATGACACCAAGGGCTACCTGAAAATTGCAGATGATTACAAATTTTGCGTAGGAACCTAAAAGGGGTTTTGTTTTTATCAATGAATTTCTATATTTCTCTATATAAGTACATAATTTATATAATTTGATATAATCATTTTAACTTGATCCATTTATTAACTGGATTCGAAGGCACAAGTAACATACAAATTATCTATAAGTACTAGGAAAATGCGTCACCAAAATAGTATTTGAGCTAACTTTATATATATTTTGCTCATAATTAACATGTTTTGTAAGTACTTTCAAGATTTTCAGATTCAATATTTTTTTGCAAACAACCGAATTGTATTTGAATGTAGATTCAAGAAAATATCCAAAAGAATTTAAAGTACATGTAACTGTTTTATATTAATTCCATATAATGATAACATCCTACTACATACCCGAAAAACATCTTTAAGAAGGAAAACCACGAAAAATATCCATTTCTTCATCTTTATATAAATATTTTTATTCTATATGCTCAACTTGCACCGACAAAACACTTCTTCACGGAAGATTTTAAGAAGTCTCATCGTAAAGTGTACTTTGTTTGCTTTAGTTTCTGAAAATCCCCTGAAGAGATAAAAAAGATAAATACCGGTATTCGTCATGATTTGGAAACACCAGTTTTTATGTTAGGCTGCACTGATATTTGCCCTCGTATTTGAACAAATCTGAAAAGTTAAGTATATCTAGTAAAAATTAAGTAAAAATCTCGATTCTGTTTTTCAGTGTAGATTGCATGATAATTAAACAGATCTGGCTTATCAAAATAAACTATAATTCGAACGTTCCTTAATAAAAGATTAAAAGGAGTTGACGAACAATATTCAAGCTCAAAAACCCATCAAACATAACAAAATACTATAGTAGCAGTGGTGTAAACACAGACCTCCAAAACACCAGGCCCCGGGATCACGAAGCATCTTAAGCTTAAGTCAAAAAATGCCTTAGATGCTGAATTTTTTTAGAGGTCAAGCAGCCCAAAATGAAAATGCCTTCCGATTTTGTATCATCAGTCTGCTGTTGTATGCAAAATATGAGCTTCCTTTAACAAGTTTTAAAGATTTTATAGATAATTGAATTTTTGACTTAAGTCTAAGTCTGTTTCATGATCCCGGGGCCAGAGGTGGTATCAGGTGCCATGAAAGATTAAGCACCCCTTGCAGACCAGTCACACCCGCTGTGTATTTCTTGTTGTGATTTGGATATAAAAGAAAAAAATCTGTGTACAACTCAAAGTATAAATAGTGGTCCAACAATCATTTTGAAAAAAGTCAGTCATCATTTGACTTAATAATAACATTAATTTAATGAAATAGGATTCCTAGGCAAATGGCTCTTGAGAGAAATTTTAAGAAAGTATTAAATTTTCACTTATTCCTAATTTTTCCTTTGAAAAAGGTATTGGCTTTTCATATGATGAAATTCCCTTTAGTTCAGTACAAATATACTCTTTCTAATGAAGAAAGTTAAAAGTTTACAGAACACACGCCTCACTTCATACGTTACAGACCACAGACAGACGTCCAACGCCGGGAATGTAACAAATACGGCTTTATCTTATATCATTTTTAGTGCTTTTCGGTCCATCATACAAATCTGTATTGTACTTTATATTTGAGGCCCTTTAGAAGAGATAAATACATCTGATAAGACTTGTTTGAAATTAGTCGGTATCTGTCTCCTTAAAAGTTTTACGATTAAAATTATTTTAATATTTAAACTAATACTTGGGTTATTAATTTCTTCATGTACATTTGTTTCAGAATATACAAATATTCATGATTTTTTCTTAAAAATTGCACTTAGTATCATGCATGTTTGAAAGCATTTTATGATAATTAAATAGACAATGAAGGTACCAGCAATTCATAGATTTACAATGAGGATCACTTCTCACCGTGTTTGCTCTGCTCCTATTTTGTATTGTTTGATTGACTTTGAGACTGAATACTGTTCGTTATATCCATATCCTTATTTGACGATCTGTAATCTATTTTATTACAGGTCGAAATAATGATTTGGAGACTTACCTGGTACTTGGGCTTCCTGATAGGACATATGAAACTTAATTTTATTTCAAAATTTAGATACACTGTTCATTGCTCAAAGTCAATGTTAAATTATTGTTCTCATTTATTTCTAGAGTTAAAGAAAACACAGAGTAACACAAAGGTAATATGTCGACTCGTTATATTCCATATTGAACTTGAAATGAAAGTTATCACAGAGTCCACATATAAATTGTAACGATTTTTATGGAACGCCGTCACTGCCTTATAGCAGAACACATTAACTACATTGCGTCAACCTTCCATTACATTATGTCAACTCTTTATGGCATTAACCGACACAACTATTGCATTGTGTCAACCTTCCATTACATAATGTCAACTCTTTATGACATTAACTCACACTACTACTGCATTGTGTCAACCTTCCATTACGTTATATCAACTCTTTATGACATTAACTCACACTGTTATTGCATTGTGTCAACCTTCCATTACATTATGTCAACTCTTTATGACATTAACCTAAAATACTACTGCATTGTGTCAACCTTCCATTATATTATGTCAACTCTTTATGACATTAGACCACACTACTATTGCATCGTCTGAACTTTCCTTTACATTATGTCAACTCTTTATGACATCAACCCACACTACTATTGCATCGTGTGAACCTTCCATTACGTTATGTCAACTCTTTATGACATTTACTCACTCTACTATTACATTGTGTCAACTTTCCTTTACATTTCCTTTACATCATGTCAACTTTTTATGACATTTGCCCACACTACTATTGCATCGTGTTAACTTTCCTTTACGTTATGTCAGCTCTTTATTATGGAATCCGGATAGGGCCATGCAGTTCACTATCGCATCATCGCACCATCGAGGTTTGGGTTGATAATGCGATGACACGATAATGCGATGACGATGAAGCGATGGTGCGATAACGATGAAGTGATGGTGCGATAGTGCGATGACGATGAAGCGATGGCGCGATAATGCGATGATGATGGTGCGATAGCACGATGAAGCGATGTTGCGATGACGCAATGGTGCGATAGCGATGACACGATGGTGCGATGACGATGGCGCGATGGTACGATGACGATGAAGCGATATTCACTTTTACTCTATCGTTCTATCGCACCATCGTCATTGCATTATCGCGCTATCGCATCATCGTCATCGCGCTATCGCACCATAGCTCCATCGTTATCGCACCATCGCTTCATCGCTATCGCGCCATCGATCTTTAAGTCGATGCTCGATGGTGCGATAGTAAACTGCATGGCCCTATCCGGATTCCATACTTTTATGACATTTACACATACTACAATTGTATTTCGTCAGCTTGCATTTCATTATGTTTACTTTTCATGATATATAAGTTTTTATTAACTGATGTGAAAAGCTCATGTCATACTGTGCGCACTCTTCTACATTATGTCGATTCACTATTACGTTATGCGAACACGGATATCCTCGGCCTTTATATGAGCATAACG